CCTAAACCCTAGACCCTAAACCCTAACCCCTAATCCTAGCTGACCCTACCTCTAAACCCTAACCCTAACCCCTAATCCTAATTGACCCTAATCCTGAACCCTAAACCCTAGACCCTGAGCCTCCTCTCAGGCTGGATGGGTTCATGTGTTCAGGACACATTCTGCTTGTTGCACTTCATGCTGTGACCTACAGTAAACCCTGGAGTCTGATGTACAGACTTTTCAGAGCGGAGCTGCAACTAACGGTCAGTTTTCATTTGTGAATAATCACATCTGTCTAAAACTACTGATTTTAGAAACAAAAAAACACATCAGAAGCAGCTCGACTCCTGTAGTCCTGAACCTAAAACGTTCCTTCAGCAGAGCAGAAGCTGTTGGAAAGAGTTTAAATCCTGTCGTAGACGTCCATTGTCAGTGAACCTGGATTATTTCCTGCTGATCAGCGGTTTGTCTGTAAACCGTGGATGATGTTAGCGAGTTGCTCTGTCCAGAGGAGAGCAGAGTCAGATGAACTTCTGTCTTCACCGTTCTAATCAGCAGCTTGTCTGACAGTAAAGTTTCTGTTTGAGTTCTTTAAACACTGAAGCTCGGTTCTGGTTGGATCCACACAGCAGCTGTAGCGTCGACACGTTGGTCTGTCGCTGAGGTCTGGATGTAGCTGATGAGTTTTACGTGGGTTGGTTTCCTTCACTTCATTCATCTGGACTAGCAGCTACGCTCACTGTGGATTATTCTGTGGGTCAGGCGATCAGCTGGTCCATCTGAAAGGTCAGGAAGTGTTGAAGCATGTTGGTCAGAGATGTTCCGCTTCTTGTCATGGAGATGCAGGTCAGCTGGAGCTCATCTGAAAGATGAGTTAATAGCAGAGTTTCTCTGGGTCGATGGATCAGTTTATTGATTATTCGTCTGAGCTGATAAAGTCTCCATCTGTTGGTTCTGAACAGATCCGTTTGGCTCCATGTTTCCTCCTGCTGTATCGGATCCCAGGCTGTGATGAAGCTGCTTCACTTCACTCTGTGACAGATCTTTCTTAGAATATAAATGCTACAGGAGCAGAGCAGACCTCCCACATGATCAATACACTTATTGATTAGTGAACTGAGAGAAAAATAATCTGTATGAAGTTGTAGCTGATGGATCATTCAGCCATTTGTTCCATGTTCTGCTGATCAGGAGAAATCTGAGGTCANACAACACACACACCTGAAACACACACTGCAACAACACACACTCCTGAAACACACATAAACACTACACACACACCTCACACCACCAACACACACTCTGCTGCCATGACACACACCTGTGGAGACGCATTCTCTTCTGGGCCCAGTGTGGGGTTCAGCTACAAGCTTATGGAGAAGAACCAGAACCAGAACCAGGACTCCTACAGAGAGGTCCTCCTCACACCCGTCGACTGTCAGCAGGAGCCAACAGGAGGTACAGAACCAGGCAGGAGTCAGAACGAGAGCCCAGAACCTGAAACCAGAACAGAGCAGAGAGAGCAGGAGGAGGCAGAAAGAGAGAATGAAGAGGAGGTGAAGGAGGAGGAACAGTGTAGGAGGGATGAGGATGAAGGTGAGGAGATGGAGGAGGAGGTAGAGGTAGAGGATGAAGGTGCAGAGGAGGTGGAGCTAGAAAAGGAGGTTCAGGTTATAATCATGCAGCAGAGTCCAGAAAGAAAGGAGGAGGTGATGAAGGAGGAGTCAGGAGGAGGTGGAGGAGGAGCGCACACAGAGAGAGACTGTTGTTCTGACAAGAACACACAACAGCAACACACTGAGGACGCAGGGAAGACACAGCTAGAAAAGCCTCCCTCCGAGGAGTCTGAAACACCTCCATGCTCCACAGCGGCGCTGGAGGAACCTGATCAGTCTGACTCAGGACTAGAGGAGCTGGAGGAGAAGAAGAAGGAGGAGCTGGAGGAGAAGGAAGTTGGTGCAGGAGGAGCCGCAGAGCTTCACAATGAAGGTACAGAAACCTGTTTGTCCTTTTTCACCTCCTGCTTCTCATTCCACAAACCATCTGTCCTCCTTCATCACCTCCTCCTGACCTTCACCTGCTGCTCTAACTCACCTGTGTTACTGCAGACAGGTGCTCAGTGTGTTCACTCTGTTTTCAGACTTCATCTCTTTTTGTTCATTCGATGATTTAACGTACTTCATGCTCCTGTTCTTCCATCAGAGTCTGCTGCAGAGATTCAGAAACACGAGGACTGAACTGTGCTTCAGCTCCTCCTTTACAGACATGTCCATCTCAGAGTTTACCAAAATGACACACGCTTAGTGGGAAACTATCTGCGTTGATTCAGAACCTGTCCAGACTGATCCTCATCTTGTCCAGAATTACATAAACTTGTGCAGAATGATTTGAAGGTGTCATAAATGGATAAACAATAGTCCAGACTGACATAAACGCCTCCAGAAATACTCAGAATGTGTCCAAAGAGTCCAGAGAAGAGCAGCTGAATCCAGTGTTAGAGGACAGTCTGAGGACGGAGACAGGAGGACGTCTGGACATACCTGAAGACGTCCTCTAGAGGAGGTTTAGTCCTCGTATCTCTGAGTCTCTACAACAGAGCAGAGTTGAAGTCAGTCTAGTTTCCTGAGCTCAGCAACAGTCAGTCGTCAGTTAATGGTTGGACCTGTAAATGTTTGCGGTGTTTTTAACTCGACGTTGTCCCTGTTGTGACAGACTGTGTTCCTGATCAGCTCCTGTGTTTCCAGCAGGCTGCTGCTCTTTCACTCTCAGCACGTTTCATCAGCGTCCTGACTGTGACACAAGAAATCTGGTCTTATAGAAGTTATCCTGATGTTACTTTGGTCTCCACAGCTCGTTCTCTTCCTGCCCAGGCAGAGAGCAGTGGGTCTGCTGGTTCTAGTCCAGCAGAACCAGAACCATCGTCCTCCCAGTCCTCCCAGTCGAGGTTCTACAGTGTACTGCTGAGGTCCGGAGCGGTGTGTCTGCCTGGTGAGAAAACACAGCTCATGTCTGAACCAGCTCAACAGCAGAACAGAACCTGATCTTTGGATTTGTTGTGTTTTTGTTTCTGTAATGTTTTAATATTTAAATGAGCTGAATGTCCAGAATTTGTAACCCAGTGGGTCGCTGCCTTGATCAGCTCATTAACGCTGTCAGATTAACTTAATGCTATGCTAATGGCTAGCGGCTAAGTTACAATAACTAATAAAGTTTTAGGATCTGGACCTCAGTGGGCAGTAGAAGAGATTCAGGAAGCTGGTGTCTCCTGTTTCCAGTTACAGCAGTGATTATTAATGCAGTCACATAGTTATGAACGATAGCAATTATTGATGTATTGATCGGTCCCACATCTAATCAATCAGTGTTCAGTGCTGTCACTTATTCTGTGGGTCACTTCCTGGTTCAATAAAGGTTGAATTCAAACATAGAAAACATCCGTTAGTCGCTCTCAGCACCAGTTTCTGGTGCAGGGACCAGTGTTGTGTGTCTGTTGTGTGTCTGTTGTGGGTCCGTTTCAGCAGCTCCAACCACCCTGTTTGTTGTCGTCCTCCAGGTTCTACAGATCGGGCGGGTCGAGCTCTGCTGACTGTTTCCTGCTGCTGCTCCGTTTGGTCTGAGCCGGACTACGACAGTGCCGAATTGCTCCGCCTCCTGCTCTACTACATCTCCACCCTCAGGTACAAAGCCCCGCCCCCTCCCAGAGTTGCTCAGGTGACGTTCTGGCTCTGACATCATCGCTGTCTGTGAACAGGAAGGAGACGCGAGCGTCGGGGCTGACGGTGCTGATGGACGGCCGCAGAGCTGCGCCCACTGCCACCGCCGCTGCCGTGTTCTCCGCCCTGCGGTCGCTGCAGGTGAGTGTTCACCTGCTGTGAGGCAGTGGGGAACAGATCAATATCTGGAACTTATGGTCAGCAGAGTTACTGATCAATAACCAATCTGCAACATGAACGAAGTACAGGCGGCCAGTTTTAAAAATGGTGGACACGAACATCATGTTTTTTAAAAATTATGTTTAAACTCCAGTTTTTATGATGTTGTCATGGTCTGACACATTAATTACCTGTAACGCCGCTCTGGCAGCAGGAAGCATCTGAACCTTCTGAACACTCTGATCCTCATTGAGCCAAAGCTGGAGAGTATAACGAACGTCTGAAGTTACAGTTAAGGCCTTAAGATGATTGATCCTGTCAGACATGAAACTGGTTGAATTCAGAAAATAGTTTGAATGATCAGAGTTTGAATTAATGACAGTACACAGAACAGTAGGAGTCTCCACCTAGTGGCAGAACCAGGAACTACAGCTGATCAACAACACGTTTACTGACACCATGTTCTGGAGCTTGTGAAGTGCTTCCACCTCATCGGTTGATATATCTTTTAATTGGTTAAATTCCAGTGTGGTTCTTACAAAAGCATCAGTGATGTGCAGCTGAGCTCAGCAGCAGCAGGACTCAGAACGACGAGTCGCTGCTTGAAGGCAAATAGAAATAAACACCAGATAAAAACCAGAGTCATTTCAAAGGTCAGAGTTTTTAAATGTGTTCATCTGCAGCCAGACAGAAGCAGCTGGAACTGAGATTTAACTGGAGGGAGAAGAAGAACATTCAGACTAGTTTTAATTGTACTTTATGTTCCTGAAAGAAAGTCTAGACAATGCATAGACTACTCTAAATATTCAGAGTATTGATAATGCACAGGTTTGAATACACACTTGCTCAATATAGATCAATAATCAACCTACCATTGATCAATAGATTCAGGAGCCTCCGCTTTGCTTGTCTCCTCTGAGATGTGTTAATGTGATCAGAAGGTAGGACCAGTCACCTGGAGGAAGACCTGAGCGGGAAGCTGGACGTCTCCTCTCAGTGTCCAGTAAAACCGTGACGTCATCTTTACAGCTCTGCTGCCTGCACATTTATCCGACCTCCGACCTTAAAATAAAACAGGAAATGTAGAAAGTCAGGATTACTTCAGGCTCTTCAGAAGAACCTAAGATCCACCACTCAGGTTTGATTCTAGTCAACCTGCCCTTTTATTTTATTGCAACTATTATTTTATTTACTTCTTTTATTATTTTGTTTCGTCAACTGTTTAAATTTATTTTCCAGTTTTAATGTATACTTTATTTATCCTGTGTTTTTTAATCTTTTAATCTAGCTGAAGTTTGCTGCCGTTAGCTGCCGTTGCTGCAGTCAGAGTTTGTTAGCTTCTGTTAGCTACACTCTAAATATGTCTGCAGTGCTGTTTGTCATTGTTGCTGTGTGTTTGCAGGAGGACTCTCCAGGCTCCATCCACACTGTGTTCATTCTGGCTAACAAGGACTCAGCTCTGCGTCTGGACAGACCTGCAGCCACACAAGTAACACCTGAAACACCTGTAGCACCTGTTGAAACACCTGTGACATCTGTATCACCTGTTAAAACACCTGTAGCACCTGTTGAAACACCTGTGACATCTGTATCACCTGTTAAAACACCTGTAGCACCTGTAGCACCTGTTGAAACACCTGTAGCACCTGAAACACCTGTAGCACCTGAAACACCTGTAGCACCTGTAACATCTGTTGAAACACCTGTAGCACCTGTAACATCTGTTGAAACACCTGTAGCACCTGTAACACACAACCACGCTGCTGACTGCTGCTCACAACACACACAACCAGGTGTAGTAATGTGTGTTTGTGTGTGCAGGTGGAGGTGCTGAACTCCCTGAAGTCGCTTCAGAAACATGTGGAGCTCCATCAGCTTCCTGCAGAGTTCGGAGGATCCTTCAGTTTCAGTCAGAGCAGCTGGATCAGCTTCAGATCAGTCAGTACACCGCAGACACAACAGACACACTCTATGTTTGTACTCAGCTGAAAGGCTCTCATCACCACTTTTAGTTTTCTAACTGGGACCACAGTCAGCTGGAGGTCGTAGCTCCTGATCAATGGAGTCAGCTAAGGGGTTGTAGGAGGTTCTTCAGTCGGATTTATTCTGACATTTCATGCTCTGGCTGTAAGTGTTGTGTGTTTACAGAGTTTTCAGACGACACAGTGATGACAGAAAACATCCGCTAGTGCAGCCTCTAGGTCAGAATCAGAGACTTGTGTCATTCCTGCAGAACTGATGTGTGTCATTCTGTTGATCAGAGAGTGGAGCAGCTGAGCCACCAGTGTGAGGACGTCATCAGCCTGCTGCAGAAGACCATTCACGTCCTGCAGGCCACACCTTTACCTGCTGCTCAGGTAACACACCTGTACCTGCTGCTGCTCAAGTAACACACCTTTACCTGCAGCATCACAGGTAACACACCTGTACCTGCTGCTGCTCATGTAACACACCTTTACCTGCTGCTGCTCATGTAACACACCTTCACCTGCTGCTGCTCATGTAACACGCCTCTACCTGCTGCATCACAGGTAACACACCTCTACCTGCTGCTGCTCAGGTAACACACACAGACTACTGGGTTCAGGCTCTCTTCCAGCTCTAACCCTGCTGTTCAGGTGAAACAGACTCTTGTCTCACCTGTCAGTCAGGTGATGTTCTGATTGTTTCTGAAAACGTCTGCCTGAAGCTCACCACTCCCCTCTCTGTTTCCCAGGATGCCGAGCTGCTGCTGTCCAGGTACAAGGCGGTGATGCGCAGCATCCTGGAGGACAGCCGATTGGTGCAGCTGCAGCAGGAGGGCGGAGCTTCTCTGTCGCGTCTCCGCAGGGACGAGGGTGGAGTGGGAGCAACAGAGGAGCAGCGAGCGGCGGTGGAGGAGGTGACGTCTCTGTACGATCAGGTGGACGAGCTGCTGCACCGTCTTGTGACTCTGTCCAACGCCAGGACCCAGGAGCTCAGCTTCATTAGCGACTTCAGGAGCCTGGAGCAGGGCTTCAGCCAGGTGGGTCTGGTCTGGGCGGGGATTCAGCCTGGTGGGTCTGGTCTGGGCGGGGATTCAGCCAGGTGGGTCTGGTCTGGGCAGGGCTTGGGCCAGGTGGGTCTGGTCTGGGCGGGGCTTGGGCCAGGTGGGTCTGGTCTGGACGGGGCTTGGGCCAGGTGGGTCTGGTCTGGACGGGGCTTGGGCCAGGTGGGTCTGGTCTGGACGGGGCTTGGGCCAGGTGGGTCTGGTCTGGGCGGGGCTTGGGCCAGGTGGGTCTGGTCTGGGCGGGGCTTGGGCCAGGTGGGTCTGGTCTGGGCGGGGCTTGGGCCAGGCACCAACAAGAACTAACTTTAAAATCACAGTTTTTCTTTAAGTTCTGTTGCACCAAACGTTAAAGTAGCTTAAAATGAGAAATAGAACATTTAATCCTGCCTCCAAACGTTAGCTTTAAGGTAAACCTGCGCCTGTGTGTGCGTGTGCGTGTTCCAGGTGAGGTCGTGGCTGCAGGATGTTGGTGAAGTTCGTCTGAAGACTCTGGATGAAGCAGAAGATTCTCTGGAGCTTCTCACCAGAAAGCAGCAGGACTTCAAGGAGTTCTACACAACTGCATATGTAAGACACACACACCCCCTCTAAGATTACCTGATGTCACCAGGTGTAGTCCATGTAGAGCACAGTTCACCTTCACCTTCCTTTGGTTTCATTGTGGGGTGTTACTGCCCCCTGCTGGACGGAGGAGGAGAGCAGTTTGTGGCAGGAATGGAGATGTCTAAACCAGCACCTGAAGCAGCCGCAGCAGTAACACCTGGACTCTCAGGCTCACCTGAGCTGAGTGAGGTCACTCGGGTGTTCCCTCATCCAGAACTCTGCTTTGAAACAGAACCTGAACTCCCTCCAGCTCCTGGACCCGATCTGTTGGGTTAACACCTTTATAAATATGTAAATATCAACATGGTCACAGTGACGTTTCTGTTGTTCAGTTTACCAGCTGTTGATCAGTAGTGCTGGTTCTGGTTCTGCTGCTGCTGCTGCCGCCGCCATGCAGTCATCACAGTTTAAAATAAACATCACAATAAGTATTAAACCTCCTCCTCCTCCACCTCCTCCTCTTCCCCCTTCTCCACCTCCTCCCCTACCTCCTCCTCTACCTCCACCTCCTCCAGGCCCAGTGTAAGCGAGGGGAGGAGCTCCTGTCCCGTCTGGACCGTTGGGCCGAGGTTCCGTCAGCAGACCTCCAGGTCTATGAGGACAGGGTCCACTCGTTCTGGGCTCAGCTGCAGGACTTCTCTCAGCGGGTTAACAGTGCCGGGCAGAACCTGGAGCGGGCTGTCCAGCTGTACCGCTTCCTGGACCAGGTACCGTGACCCGTTCTTTAAAGAACCGTTATATTCTGGTAGCTAGGTGTGAGCTGGTTCAGGTGGGCAGCTGGTCATCCTTAGGTGGTCTCTGACAGCGTCTAGTCGGACCTGGAGGGCCCGTTTAGAGAACTGGACCCTGCAGGGAGGCGCTCTATCTGTCTTCTGTTCTGATGGACGGAACCAGTCCTGATTACAGCCTGTTTATCATTAAC